GGATGAGCTACTTGAGGATATGGTTTAATGGGGATTAGGGATGGTTGGACTCGATGATCTCTAAGGTCTTTTCCAACCTAGAAATCTATGAATCTATGAATCTATAATCACCAAGGGTTCGACGTGCTGCTTTAGTTGCTCGAGATGCTCTAATATGTTCTTCTTTGTGATGATCCCCAAGACAATCCTGAAACAGATCATGTTATGCTAATAACTGTGTGTGAAATCAAACAAAAAAAAGATCTAATCATAATGAAAAAGGATTTGAGTAGAGCAAAACGTAAAAAAAAAAAAATGGTTGCAGGAAAGCTAGTGATATAATTAAATGAAAAATGATTTGAAAGTCAGTACCCTTTCCCAGACATTGCCTTTTTTTTTTTCTCCCAAAATGCTGAACACAACTGGATCTTCAACCACCCCAGAGCAGTACATTTCTCATCTCAAGTACACGTCAGGGAAGCATACTTCATCCCTTCTCCCCAAATTCACATCTCTTCAGGTTTTAGAAGCACTGAAACTAAGATCGACTTTATTTCCTTTGTTTAATAGCTATTTCTCCTCACACATACAGATAATATTCTAACAAGCCACAGTAGATGAACACAGTAATAACTGTGTTAACTCACAGTAGTTGAGGTTTGAAGCTGCACTATAGAGCAGGGTTATCTGGTGTCCCTAGAAACAGATAAATTCAGACAAATTTCTCATTCATGACAGTATAAGCACCTCCCTGGAATGGATAGTCTGGTACAAATTAGGAAGTGAGGCTAAGTCTTATATATCTCTATGTTTGTCATCAGCACCAATTTCTGCACAGTTCCTATTCCCATCTGGATTGGAACCAGTAAGTTGATGTGTGTCTTTATGTGGGTATATTCAATCTGCAGGAAATTTGCCAAAATATAGAGCAGTCCTTGATGTCCACACGGCTGTATGCCATGGCTGAATGCCACTACTACTAGTATTTACTATCTGATCTTGTTGTAATGGACAGTGTGCTCACGGAACATCACAAGCTTGTAAGTTGCACTAGGACAACAAATATGAATGTTAGAAAACAGTGAATTACTAAAATCACCCATACTTGCTGCTACTTTACAATAAACTAGTTAGAAATTTATAGTAGTTTGACATAGCTTTGCACAATTAAGCCTTCATTAGAGTCGATTTTAACATCGTCACTGTTTCAGCACTCGACCACAACAGAAACTAAGAATAGTAAATATTCTTAATTGAAGTTTTATGAATTCAAATTTCCATCCCCAAAACAAGAATAATTGCATGCCTGCACTGACTTCTAAGCATCAGATTATGATGTCCTTTCCCCAGAGACAGGTTTTTAAAGTCATTTATGCTTCTGAAAACATGCACTCGCCATTCAATACAGGGATGCATTGAAGAAAAACAAAAAGCAGGAGAACATTTAAAATAAATTTGTTTTAAAATACATCTGAAAAAATAAACATGGAAACCAATGTGGTATTTAAGTATTTGCCACTCATAGCAGCAGTCCTTTTGCCCACAGCAGAACCAAGTCCCACCCATATTTCAGGTTTCCTGGGTTTGTCCCATGCACATCAATCCTAAGTAACGTGGATTAGCAGACAATGTTTCACTCCTCGGGTGCCTTAAAAGACATGCTAAAGAGAAGGCAAGATATTATGGCAGGAGCTGCAATGTTGTGTGCCAAGCGTTCAATGCAAGAGATACAGGAAAGCAGAATGTTAAAGGAACAGCTACACAGAAAAGGATCATGTGAAAAAAAGGAGTAGTTTAGGTAAGAGGCAATTAAAATGAACATTTATGTTTCCATGTCTAGGGCTGATTTATTCAGTGGGTAATCACATGACAACACCTTACAGTCTCATTTACAAACATTCTAAATCTTAAAATTACTTTCTGGAAATATTTTGAACTGTAGAAACAAAGGCTGCAGATTGAAGTCCCAGAACTAGTAGCAATTATTTAGTTGTTAGTATTCCAAAAACAAGAGCTTGGTGGTAATCACCACCACTAAACTCCCGAAGAGGAGAGACTGGATCATTTTCCCCCTTACTTTGTATGAACCCAAATATTTGTGGATGTTCAAGAGCTGCTACACTGCACATCGGCAGTAGATACATAAGAATGAGGAAACACAGGCTGCGCACCACACAAGACTAAATTTCTGCAAGACAAGGTGCGTCTCCTCCACGTGCAAGTTGCACACACGAAACTTCCCGAACGAGCGCTATTTTTTAAAAGAACATCTTAAAATGACTGAAATCGCCCACCTGCTCACTTGAAATATAAGGGAGGAGTAAGAATTTGAGAGGTGTCACAGCACAGCACACCTTTTTAATGGTCAGTGTCCTCAGCTGCAATATCAAATTTATGGGTTCAAATATCATGGTCCAGAAACGTATCCTGGTTTAAATACTCTGATCCTGGAAGTGAAAATTACTGTATCTAACAAAATGAAGAGCATTGCTGCCACTTTACTCACCCATTGTGTGTTACAAGGCACTGCCTCAGACCCAGCTTCCGGAAAATATCCACCACAATTTCCATTGGTGTGTGGTCTGTCACGGTGAAAGGGCTCATATCAAGTATGCTTCTAAGCTTCAAAGGTCGAGGGCTTTCTGCTGGAAGCGATGGGGTATGCTGGGCAAAACAGACCCTGGAACTGCCAACAATCCCTTCCTGCTTCTTCCTAGCACTTTCTTTAAGAAAAAGAGGGGGCGGGGAACAGCAGAAGAGGAAGAATTTACATTCTTGGAATAAAATAATTTAGTGCAAACAGACAGATCAATCAACACTACCAGACTTGGATGTTATCCTCTAGATACTGATATTCTTATATATGCTATTTTGATGTCTTTCCATAGCCACTGCTTTATCCTTAGGAGGTGTTTGTGCTGGAATCACAAAAGCCATGTACCATACAGCTTTAGTCATTCCCCAGCTACTACCTTTCTCACTCCACTATAAAAGTGCAGAAAGACTTAAAAAATAACATGCAGGAAGCACATAGACGGCCTCTGAAGAAACTGTCAAGGGGAAAGCCAATCTCAATTGACAGCTCCCCTGTCATGATTCCAACGGCTGTAATTATTGTTGGTTTGAGACCAATGAACTCAGTTCTGATCATTCTGAAAACGTCATCTTCTTGTTTATAATGAATTTATTTAGCTTTTGTGACCTAGATCATCTTCATGTCTTCATCACCTTGGCGACAACAGCATCCCTCTCTGTACCCCGAAGTATTTCACACAAGACTCTCTTAATTCAGCCAAAATCCAAGACTAAGCAACTTGCAGTGTGCAATCTCAGCAGCTGAAATGAGTCTTACCTGTGAAAGTGTGTTATTAGAATAATGTTCTTCTATTCCCTTATTTATTCTTAAGTAAATGCAAACTTAAACCAGTATGATGTCTATAATAATTTCCAAGTTTTGGACATTCCTATACATCCTACATAATGTAAAACAGTAGTATACACAGTATTAAGATCACAGGCAAAGGTTTTACTGAAGTAAACAGTGTTCTGTTCACAAAACATTTTTTTCAAAGTTTCAGGAGACTTTTGTGTCTCTTTCTCATATATCTTTGTTAAAGAGCTACTTGTCAACGTACAATCTTATGAATTATGAAAAAAAAAAAAATTAGTTTAAGATGCAACTTCCGTCACTGATTTCATGCATCAAATGTTACAGTTTGGTAACATTTTCTTACATAACAATTATTTTTTTTCCTTTGGTTATGCTACTATCCTCAAAATCCACAGAATTTTTCTTGTCAGTGCACAAAGCATTGTCACAAGTATCACACGGGTTCTAATACTCGCGCAGAGAAAGGAGAGCCCAAACAGGGTTTATGTGCCCAGAACTAAATTTCCCATTACACAAATTGAAAAACAGAAACCTAAAATCATTAGTATTTCGCTTATCTCTCCATAACACAACCTTAGCTGTTACAACAACAGTAAATAACATACTGCCAGAGAGAAGTACGATATACATTTAAATCTAAAAATTACTTGGACAGTAATTGTCACAGAATCCTGCTGTTCTAAGATGAGAATTACTCAATTTTGATGAAGAATGTTAGTGTAGCATCCCCTGAGGAAAAGAGATACTAGCAAAAGCCTCAAAACAAAAATACTGGACCAACTCATGTTTTGGCCTACTTCAGTACGGAGTTTTTATGACAGAGAGATTAACGTTTTCTCCATTTCAGAGCCTGCTAGTGAAGATAATGATATACTTCAGTAAAGGAAGAGACCGCCTGTGCGAGGTACCTGAACCTGAAACAAGTCTAGAAACAGAGTAAATTCTGTTTTAAGCTGTAAAATCATTCACATTGGCATATAAAATCATGCAATACTGGAAGATAATTACCTATTGCAATAGTTAAATCTCTTCTTAGAGCAAAGCCCACTAGTCTCTGCGATTCTTTTGACATAATAACAGGAAAACCATTATAGCTGGTTTCGTTGATCAGGTTTTCTATGTCTTCGACTGTCATATTATCCTGCGTTAGAACTGCTAAAGGTGGATCGCTTCTTCGAGGTCTCATAACGTCAGCAGCCAGTGTTGTGTGAGTAAATTCTTCCTTTGCATCCAAGAAAGGGTATCCATTCAGTCGGATGTGCGCCTCATAGATGCCTTCCCTACCAAAGGCATCTCCTACCCACTTACTAGTCATGACTGCAGCCATTAGGGGCACAATATATTCCAGCCCTCCTGTTAGCTCAAAGACAATAACTACCAGGGACACAGTCATCCTTGTCACACCACCTGCAAGAAAAAGGGCAGCCAGTAATGTTCCAGTATCAGATAATAATGAATTTTGAATTTCCTGCCTTCCTGTTGAGAACTACAAACGCAACTTTGTCATTAAAGGTCATCTGACAAACATCACTCTGTATAATACAAACAGAAGCAGATGGGAAAAACGAACACAAAACTTTTCGAAGTAAAAAAGAGAGCTTTAGGGGAAATTCCTAGAAAGTGAGAGAATAAAGGGATTTGAAAAATATGTGCAGTTATTTCATGTAAACTAAGAATAAAACTATGTATTTTTCCACACCACATCTAGGTTAAAAATACTGTGAAATGCAAGGAAACCCAGTAAGATAAGAATTTGGAAAAAGAATGGAACTAATGAAGGGAACTTAACAGGTAGCAAGTAATTCAACAGCTATGTTGTCCAATGGATTAGGAGTTTAATGCTGTTGCTGAATCATAAAAGCTAAAGAGAATTCTTAGCTGATGAAAAGAAATCTTTCTTGGGCAACGGGAGAAGGCAGGGATTATACTTCTCTTTTGTTAGGGTTCAAGATGTTTTTTCTGCCAAGGTTTCTGATGCCCTGTCTTCATTCAATACAAGAATACGTCTTTCTTTCAATGCATTCAAAAGTGATTCAAGTTGAAATATTAAAAAACAAAACCTCTCCAAAACCTAAATTTGTGCCACTAGTTTATTTGATCGCTCAAATGCGCTTTTCTTTAAGGAAAAGGTCTACTTTTTAAACAATCTGTATTAATAGCTTTTAAATTTAATTTCTAAGGCAACAAAGTTACAAGCTAGGACAAGACAAGGCCTTCAAAAAACCTCTCCTAGTTCAGGTGCCCAACTTAAGCCTCTTTCCATGAAGCTGATTTTCAACAGTTCGTAAATCAGACTTGTTAAAAATACGTCAAGCCAGACTCCCCAAATCATCAGACACTTCTAAAAGTTTTGTTTGGATTATGAATTTTGAGAACATTTTTGCAACTCATGTAAACGCGGCGGCTGATCGCATCACCTCCTTTTAATAACTTCACCAGTACCTGACTCCGCAAATCCTCTACTTCATACATCTCAAGAAACTGATTTTTCTGACTGATGTCATAATGACACCTCTTGATACCAAAAAGAGAACGCAAACCCTCCTATTAAAATTGTTCTTTTTCTCACCATGTAGTCAATTTAAATTTCACGTTATTCCTCAGATCACAAGGATCTGATGGTCTTGTGTAGAGATGTGAATGTATTATTCTAAAGAGAGAGAAGTCCACATGAAAAGGTGTTCGAAAACTGCACGTTTTTATCTCCATTTTTAATCATTGTTTTGGCAACATACAAGAAAATCAGACACTTATTTACTTTGTCATATTTTAGTTACCTAAGCACGCAGCAGCACCAACCATGGCATAAAGACCAGGTGTAATACAGTCAGCTCCAACTTCACACCATTCCTTGAATATGAACCAGTCATGATGGTAGTAAGCCAGCTGCTCCACTGCAATCCCGACTATCCTTCCTGCTATTGCTCCAATTGCCATACTAGGTATGAACAACCCAGATGGAACCTGCAACAAAACCAGAAAGACTGCTGTCATGCTGATGAGAACATACCTCATGCATCTTTTTACAAGTAATTTTATTTTTTCTTTGCCAAAAGAGATGCAAATTGCCAGGTTAAAAACGCGTGAATTGACCTTGCAAGGTTAGCAGAACTTAACACAAGGCTATTGGTACCTCTGATCAACCTGGTTAGCTGAATCCATTTAGTGAGCACGTTTGTTTATATTTTACTGTATTTTAGAGCAAGTCTGTCACCAATAGAGGACCACAAACTAGACTCGCAGTGCCAACAGCACAATTCTTACCATATGTGTGTTCAACACGAGCTGCGCTACTAGTACTGAAAAGTCTTCCTTAATATTTCCCATCTCTCTCACTACTTCATGTTCCTCTCAGTCCACATTCACTTGCTAAATAAGCTTAGTACATAGGATTACTTCCCAAACTGCTTCTTAACACTCCTAAAAATTAGATGGCCAACTAACTAGGTGATTTTTAAAAGAAATTTTGTCCACTATATTGCAGTTTTCCACAAAAAGTATTGTACATAGAATGCTAAATACACAGAGGAAAAGGCAGGACAACTCCCATAGCAAAAAGTTAAAACACACTACTGTTAAAAAAAGTTCCTACTGTGCAAGGCTTGCTTTTTTCAGCAGCTTCATAAGAAGTGAAGGTTCATCTGAGAAACTGCTGTTGTGTATCTTTTCTCCTCATGAAGCTAATATTCTATCCAAAAAACATACTGGTGTCTAAATGTCTCATTAAACTGGAAATGCCTGCTGCTTCTCCTCACAGTAGCTGTTAGTATCAAAATATCTTTTATTATTAACTACTTTATTATTAACTATTAACTTAATAGGAGTTAGAAGTGTGTGCGTGCCTGTTGGAATATGATCTTATTGGCATCATGGAGACGTGGTGGGATGAATCCTGTGACTGGAGTGTCAGAATAGAAGGGTACAGGCTCTTTAGGAAGGATAGTCAGGGGAGAAGAGGAGGAGGGGTTGCCCTCTATGTCAAAGACCAGCTAGAGTGCACGGAGCTGCACCTGGGGACGGATGAGGTGCCAACTGAGAGCTTATGGGTCAGGATTAAAGAGAGAGCAGGGACAGGGGACATAGTAGTGGGGGTCTGCTACAGACCACCTGACCAGGAGGACCGGGTGGATAAGGCCCTCTACAGACAGATAGGAGCTGCCTCACGTTCATGAGCCCTGGTCCTCATGGGGGACTTCAACCACCCCGATATCTGTTGGAGGGACAACACAGCAGGCCATAGGTAATCCAGGAGGTTCCTGGAATGCATGGATGATAACTTCCTTCTCCAAGTGGTAGAGGAACCAACGAGGAGAGGTGCTTTGCTAGACCTTGTTCTCACCAACAAAGAAGGGCTAGTGGGGAACGTGACGCTCAAGGACAGCATTGGCTGCAGTGATCATAAAATGGTGGAATTCGAGATTCTTAGGGAAGCAAGGAGGGTGCACAGCAAGCTCACTACCCTGGCTTTCAGGAGAGCAGACTTTGGCCTCTTCAGGCATCTCCTCATTAGAGTACAATGGGATGAAGCCCTGGAGCAAAGAGGGGCCCAAGAAAGCTGGTTAATATTCAAGGATTCCCTCCTCCAAGCTCAGGAGCGGTGCATCCCAACAAAGAGAAAGTCAGGTAGGAACACCAGGAGGCCTGCATGAATGAACAAGGAGCTCCTGGACCAACTCGGACAGAAAAAGAAGGCCTACAGAGAGTGGAAGCAAGGACAGGTAGCCCGGGAAGAATACAGAGCGATTGTCCGAGCAACCAGAGATCAGGTTAGGAAAGCTAAAGCCCTGATAGAGTTAAATCTGGCCAGGGACATCAAGGGCACCAAGAAAAACTTCTAGAGATATGTCAGTGATAAAAAGGGATCTAGGGAAAATGCAGGCCCTCTCCAGAAGGAAACAGGGGACCTGCCTACCCGGGATATGGAGAAGGCTGAGGTACTCAATGACTTCTTTGCCTCAGTCTTCACTGGCAAGAGCTCCAGCTGCACAGCCCAAGTCACAGAAGGCAAAGGCAGGGACTGGGAGAATGAAGAACCACCCACTGTAGCAAAATATAAGGTTTGAGACCATCTAAAGAACCTGAAGGTGGACAAGTCCATGGGACCTGATGAGGTGCACCCGAAGGTCCTGAGGGAACTGGCGGATGAAGTTGCTAAGCTGCTATGCATCATATTTCAGAAGTCGTGGCAATCTGGTGAGGTTCCCAATGACTGGAAAAGGGGAAACATAGCCCCCATCTTTAAAAAGGGGAAAAAAGAAGTCCCAGGGAACTACAGGCCAGTCAGTGTCACCTCTGTGCCCGGCAAGATCATGGA